ACGCTCTTCTGTATCGGTGAATCGGTAACCGCATTACTGTTCAAACCCTCGTTTTGGTTGCCATCGATTTTCGCCACCACGGAGATATTCTTGATGTCCAAAACCTCCGAGAGTGGAGAATCCATGGCGGATTTCATCATAAGGTCTTGTTCGCATTCGTAGAAGGCATTGTCCAGAAGCTGTTGCTCGCTCTGTAACGACCCGAGATCGGCGAGTTCAAGCCCTTGTGAAGTTATAACGTCCTCCCCGCAAGAGATCATCGTCAAGGCTTCGGACAGAGGATCAACGGCTAAGACCGGTTCCTCGATGATCGGTTCCGGGGCTTTGAACAGGTCGCCTTCTAGTCCAAGATCGTACTCAGATATGTCCGATGCCTGAGCCAAGTCACTCTGTATCAAAATCAAATCAGAAGAAACATCAAAACCAACTTGAGGAAGGAACACACACACACAGAGCCAAGATCACAGTGCAAAAACAGAGTGGCTTTCTTCGATTATGCAAGAACAGAGATCTTTTCGGACATATTTCTTGGTTTATATTCAATATCAAGATTCACCGATCGAGATAATTAGCTGTTGCTAGGTTAAAAAAGTTAAGAGGAAAGGGACCTTTTTCCTCTTTTAACGCTATCAAAGCCCTAGTGGGAATGAAGTGAAAAAGGGGCTATGAACCGACAATCCACTTCAAGCAAAAAATAAAATAAAATTGGAAGAAGTCTTGAAGATCACGGAAGCTATGTTCCTGAAAACACATAAGTTCACTGTCAAATCGTATAAGATACCCTCCTTTATAGTTTCAGTCCAGCTTGTAAGAAAAAAGAGAATGGGAATTCCCCGTTATTTCAGCCGGAAAAAGTTCTCGTTTGGGTGCCGAGAAAATTCGGGTTTTTTTTTCTCTCACGGGAAAGTTTGATCTTTAATATAATCGTAGCACAAGAAAGATTCCGTCTTTTCCTCTGCCCAAAGCGCAATTTCCACTTGTTTTCTCAGCAGCCAAACATATGGTCAGCGCGGCCGGAAAAAAATCGCATCCCATCAAGTGGTCAAAATTTCTCGAGGAAACCCGGACAAGTGATCACAGATTTTCCCAGGAAAATTCACTTCACTAGCTGACAAAATTGCTTCCATCTCCCTCAGAACAGGAACCGACCCATCAAAATTTACCCGGAGAAACAGAACCCAGAGCCAGAAAATCGATATAAATCACCAAAATCCAACACCAATCTCAAGCAACAAATGCAGGCCATGAGACGAAAGCCAGCAAGAGCGAGAAGACGAGAAAAAAAATGGTTCAAGGGAAGACAAAAGAAACCCACATAGGAAATGATACGAAAACGATTGAAAGAAACGATTTTTACACTAAGGAAAGGAAGGAGAAAACAAACCATCGGATCAGAGAGCTTGTGGGATCTGCAGAGTTCATCAAACTGCTGGATTTCAGGAGAAAAACTCTGCATGTATCGGAAAACCAACCCAGTTTCTGTATACATTTCTCCTCCTCCTCCTCCTCGTTCTATCTCTCTCAATCTGAACCTGGAAATGGGTTTTGAGCAGAGGGGAGTGACCATAAAAACCAAGAACAGAGGCAAGTTGAGAAACAAAGCCACACCCTGAGGGGAAAGCTTGATACTTTTGCCCTTGTTGCCTTTTCTGATATATAAATAGAGAGAGAGGGAGATAATTTGTGTAATAATTGGAGGACACTACCCTATCAATATATAAACTCCCAAAAAGGACAAGAAATCATAAAGGAAAAAAAATGTAGTCCCACCATATACCTTGTTATTATTCCATGTAGTTGATATTTTCCTAATATAATTAAAATTAAAAAGTAATCCCATCTTAGGGTATGCATTTTGTTGTTAACTTGACATAACAATAGCGCATTTTAAACAATAAAATAAGAAAAATATCTCAGGATGCAAATAAATAAAATAGGTAAATCATGACAAGGGTGTGAAGATCAGATGTCCTTTATTTTCCTAGTTTTTCATTATTTTCCCTTTTCCTTTTCTTTTTATTTCGCTTCCATTCATATGTCTGCAATTATGATTATTGTTTTAATCGTTTCATCTTTTTCTCATTCTTTTTTTGTTATAATCTGTAAGTTAACCGGATCTTTAATCCAACTATATCTCCCAGAGAATTGGGGCAGCCCACGTAAAAATCCCTCCCTAACCACAAATAGAACCACCAACTTCTGAGCGCTTTGCATCCAACTACAGACCACTCATTCACAAACTGTTGGGTATCTTTTTGTAATACTTTTTCTAGTTTAAGGATGCGAAGACAAATTAATTAAAATAATTAAGCATATGATATACTACACTGTAAATTAAATTATATGATAGTAAGTTATTACACCAATCAGAAGATTGAATAACCCACTCTTTTGGTTAAAAAAAAATATTCCGATAAAATGACAAATTATACTTCACTCCTTTCATATTCTGTAATATATAAGTTAAATAAAAAACAAATCACCTGCATCAAATAGGTTACCTTTCAAAACAAAATTAATTTCTAATTGAGAATCATTTTTAAAGAAAAGGGTGACCTTATTTTATCATATGATTAGGGGAAAGCGTCATACTATACCAACTATTATGGGGAGGATTCTAATATATATATTTTTTTATCTATTTGGTTTGTTGGTATTTCAGTTTTGTTATATTCAAAAAGGTAGTCATGCAATTATTTAGATGCAAACTACAAAAGCTATATAAAATTTTTATTATAAAAAAGATTTAGGAAATTTTTGAAATTTAAATTAGTTATAAAATAACATTGAATCTTAAAAACTTTAAATTAAAATCTTGATAAATACTAGAATAATAAAGTTCTAACCATATTGAAATACTATATATATTTTTACACTCTTAGTTATTATAAGATATAATTTTGATAACTATATAGATTTTTATAAAAGTATTTTTATTTGGGAATTCAATAGTTCAAATTTCTTGTAAAACACTGTGATTTCAACATAACTACCATTAATTATGGTTTAAGGAAAATTCATCGATAATTTCTTGTGTGGAAGATGCAAAGTTATGACTAGTTTGTCCATTTGGTACTTTAAAATATAATTTGGAAAACTAAATTCAAATTCAATAAAAGTAATAATCATATGGGATATATTATAGAAGAGAAGTGCCAAGTTGTGATAAAACAATTAAAAATATATGGATTGACTTTGATTAGGTTAGATTTTTGTGAATCTATTTTAAATTATTATTTAATTTGAGGATTATTAGACTGTATAATTGCGGCGGTAGCAGAGGAGCAACTTGAAGTGGATGACTGCGTTAAGCACATGCGTTATGTGGGCCTCACACTGTCTGATCTCTGCAACTCCCTTACGATTATTCCACGCGCTCTTCAGGCGCGTGAAACTTGTGTTCATTTATTATTATTTACTTAACTCTGGATAATTGTCGCCATAATTACCTCGGATAGTGAATCTATTATGTTTCCAATGAATAGTTAGTTCTTGTAAGGAACATAAATATATTTTATAAGGCACGATTTAATGGTTTGAAAATAGTTTTTACGAGGAATAACAGAAATTTTATTGAATATAATTTAATTATCATGATTTATAGTAATTTAGATATTTCTTTAATTAATTATATAGTTACAATAACTTTTTATTTGATTTCTTCAATTCAAATTTTTTGTATATCTTAAATCATATTATAGGCAGAACCGTGATGTGCAATTGGAGAGATTTGTCATTTATTTTGGTTTTATATAATTTATTTATTATTAAAGTTTTTTTAAATATAATTAGAGAATAGTAATACTGACTAACATTATTACCATTTTAATTTTTTATATTTTAAAAGTAAAGTTTTAAAAAATTTATCATAATCTTTTTTATTTGATTTCTTAAAATCGTTTTTTCTTTCCATATAATTTGACATCTAAATATTAATTTTATTCAGGTATTGAATATTTATTTTTAAGTTTATAATTTTTCCTTTCATTATTGTTATATAAAATTGTTATTTAATGTTATTACCAATAACTTTTTTATTTGAATTGTAAGTTTACTTTTGAATTCAATATATGAGGATAGAGTTAGAAATTTGATATCCTAAATTAAATTTATAAATATATAGATTTGTTAGTTATTTTTTATTTTAATTATTTTTTAGTTATTTTTAACTAAATTAAAAAAATATATAAATTATAATTTAATATCATAAATTATGTCGTACGATACTCCAAAATTGTTTGAGACAACTTTGATTATAGGTTACATTGGTGGAAAGATCCTTTGGCAGAAAGATTGAGGGCATCCCAGATCCACGAGTTTAAATATAAAAGAAATCATAATAACCATGTCATGATTAATTAATCGTGTATTCAATCAGTGTTATGATTAGGTAATTTTTGTATCATTGGTTAAACTATGATATTTGTCATACATATATTCGAATCCAATATGATATTATAACATATGTTGAAGATGAAATCCGACAAAACTACTGTTTTCGTTTGTGTCTATTTCCTAAAATAAGTGCCAAATTGCGTATTGTTCTTTTGCCCCATAATGATGTTAATCGTGAAAACTACATGTGACAATCTACAACCACTTGGATGAAAACATTATAAACATAATATAATATTTTCAGCATGCATTCATATCTATATCATATAAATATTGAAACTAATGTTGTTTCTTCATTCGCTAACGTAAAATCATAAGAGATTGTCATATAATAGTCTTCGTATTAATCAATGTTCTTATATAAAAACAACTGAATATAGTTGGGATCAAACTCAAAACGAATGTGAAAATAATATTAAATAAATAAATAAATAAATAAAATATTTTTTTTCAAAAACTAAATTTGGATCAAAATTAATCGAATACGAAATGAAAAAAAAACTGATATAGAAATGATGAGTGTAATTTTTAGTTTCTACAGATAAAAATAACAATAAAATCAGAACGTATGAGAATCCAAATATTCATCTCTAATTGTGTAGTAAATGATTTTAGATTAGTATAATTATTTAATGAATTAAGAATAGTTTTTAAAATTTTATTTAAAAATAAGTATTTTTTATAGAAAAATAAGATCCAAACGGAATCCAAAATAACCCGGAATATTACACAACAATGAAATAAAAATGATTTTTTTAATTAAAAGCTCTTAAAAAATCCAAATAATAAACCCTAATTAATGGTGGAAAAAATACATATGTGTACGTTGTATCTGTACTACGTATCTGTACTGTCTTATCATTAGCTGGAAAGAGAAGGAGAGATTCCACCTTTTAATTCGATTTATTTATTTAAAAAAAGATATATTCAAATTCTGGTGTGTTGCAATATTTTGGCGATGGCTGTGGTTTTTATTTGCAAAATATTTAATATTTTGGCCTCTGGAATGCGTGACAACCAACTTTGATTACACCTTATTTTATTCCTTTCTCAAACCGCATGAAAGGGGAACAGTATCAATTTATGGAGGAACATTATTTAATCTAACGAGACAAAATAAAAGTTTCATATTATTTAATATTATCACCATTTCTTGTACCACAGTATAAATATGCAAACAATTAAATATTAACTAGAAATACATATTCAATCATCCATTGAGAAACAATACAAAAGCTAATTATCACAATGACCTATTATATTTATATATATATATATATATATATGAATCCAAAATGGTATAAGCATGCAATAATGTCCACTTTGGTGGAATATATCCTTGTTAATATTTCTATAAGCCAATGTACTTAGACTACAAAGGTCAAATGTATTTAATTGGCTGAGGAAAGAATTTCAACCAAAGGCATGAATTAACAAAACCCTAAAGCTTTTTATTTCATCGCTTTTTGCATTACTTTTAATCCGAAGCGGATCTTTCCATGGTTGATTCGTTCCATATTATTATAAAAAAAACATTTGAATTTAATCGGAATTAGGGAATTAACTAACCCAATAACTAATTCAAAATAGTTATAGATCGAAAGTCTATGATAACTATAGTTATATAGACCGAATTTCAAGCTAATGACGGTTTTCAAAAAAGTTGCGGGAATATATATATATATATATATGTATGGTTTCACAACTTGTTTCATTCATATGTATATACATATATATATATATATAAGAACAAAAAAAGAGAGAAAAGAACGAACATTTAAAAGTTTCCGAAACACTTTGTCAAGTGTGAGAATTTAGAGGTTCTATTGAAGAGAAAAAATGATGAGAGGTGCTGAATTTGGGGTTGCACCAAAGGCAAAGTGTTACTATAACCTTAACATTCCCCCATTGGGAAAAAATTTAAAACAAAAAATACAAAAAATAATAATATGCAAAAAGGCAAAAAGGTCACTGAAAACAAAAAAAAAAAGGAGAAAAAGGTCGTCGAAAGTGGACGGATTCTATTTCCCCAGAGGTTCAATAATCTCTTTGATACGTTCACATAAAACTTAATTATGGAAGTGAATAAATATGGCAATATATTATGAGAATTCGCGAAATTAGATTTATTTGAGAGTTTTGACAAGATAGATTATTGAAACGTGTGGACTAACATTTTCCTATCCTGAACAATTCAACCAAAGTGATCTCTAATTTGTTTTGCTTTTTTTTTATACAAAAATAATTATTTCCTCTACAAAAAAAAAAGGCTTGTGAAATGGGTTTTCATGAGTTCCATGATATGAATAGACGTGTGATGAGGTGGTTAAATGGATCTGGTCCATATTTTAGTTATTACTATTATTTATTATTATTATTATTATTATTTGGAAAGGCACTATATAATTTAAGTATCATTGGAGCAAAAGAATAATTTCCGAGTTTCAAACCCACTCAAGGGACAAGAGAGGAGGCAACCGGACCGATCGAAGTGCCAATTGGACGTTTGTTCTTGTCGGAAATATTCAATTTTGTTTTACAATGCTCGGGAAGAAAAAAGGCTTTTACGTATATTTATAAACATGATATTCTCACACGGTGTTTAACAGCTTTCTTGCAAATTCGGGATGTTATTCTATAGACTTTTTAATTTAAAATGTTGGGGATAAAATAAAATAAAAAGGGGATATTTATATAAATGGGTAAACTCCGTGAAAGAGATGGGACAAAATGAAATAAAAACAGCTGGAGCGAAGTTGTCCTTTACATTTATTATATAAGAAATTCCAATACTTCATATTATTATTATTTTTTAATAGAAAGCTAGTTATGAGTTTTTAGTTTTTACGGAAAGGTACGGTTGAAAAAACCATGAGATTATTTGCTTATAATCATAAAAATCGAAGGCCGGATCGAATGTTTTTCTCTAGACCAGAGGTATCAAAATGGATGAGGTTTTGCTTATATTATTTTTAGTCGACCTCAAAAAATTTAAGTAAAAATTAAAAAAGAAAAACGGGTCACACGAGTTCGTTTGGCGAGTCCATGAGTTGATTCATAAGAAAAAAAATATTTTAAAATTTTAATTATTTTTAAATTTTAATATTTGTTTCTAATAAATATTTTATACGTTTAGTTTATTTTTAATTTTTTGAATGTTTTTATAATATTTTTTAGTATTTAAATTGTATTTTTAATTTAATTATGTATTTTGCACACGAATTGACTCGTTTGACTTGTATTTTAAGACGAGTCGGATTGAGTTAAATAATTGTTGGTTCAACAAAAAATGGGTCGGATCGAACCGGACAAAAAAAAACTTATATCAGGATGAGTTGAGTTGGACCATCCCCTTTATTTAAATTTGGAATACTTGTTCATGTAAAAAAAAAAAATTGAAGATGAACATATTTTGATGCTTTCATTTTTCTAAAAAAATTATAAATTATATAAAAGATGTAATATTTTAATCTGAATAGTTATAGCTTTAAACTAATAAAACATCATTGTCGTTTTATTATAAAATACATAACATTTAATCTTTTTTAATTTGTGCTAATATGATATTATAATTTTATATTCTGGATCCTTCAGAAGAAGTGTTGTGAGCCCCCCCCCCCCAATCCGGTACACCAA